AACCCGCCACCTTAGGTGTACGTGGCTGGCGCCTTAGCCGGTTGAGCTATAGGCGCCGAGCCAAAAATAAATCTTGATTTACTCTGAAGAATAAAGTTCTGACTGCAATTAGCTTTTATACACCAACACAGAGCATTAAACAAATATGTACTGTGGACCTACTATGTGCAAGACACTTGCTAGGTGCTATGGTGAGTAAAAAAAAAGCACTTAGTAAGGTTAACATGTTTTATTAAATGAAATTTTTCAAAATTCATTAACAGAATCTCAACCCAAAATATAATTGAAAAGAATACCTTCATATGAAATTTTCAGTAGTACTCCATGATACAGCTGTGAAGCTCTGCATCTATAAAGAGAAAATACTACGGTCAGATAAACAACAAAACTAGTTTCAGAAAAAGGACAGGTATTTTAATTATACTAGCATAAATAAATGGTACATAATAAACTTTTCACATAAAAGGTTAACTTTTGGACACCAAAAAGCAAAACAAAATTTGATTCAGAAGTTCCTTTATGTAAAAGAGAGAGGATATATCTTAAAGTCTGTTCAGATCATAAGAAATTGCCTTTTCAAGTTTTCCAAATTATTTAGAAACAAGATTATGGTTTCCAATGCAGGTTAATAGATCTATGAATTTTAATTGCTTTTTTGTTTAAAAAACTTAGTATTAGACCCAATATAGAATTTTTAACAGCTTGTGCAAGTTAGGAATCTGAGTTAAGGAAAGTGTATCTACCCAGTCTTAGCATGATAGAAATATGCCTTATATACAGATATACAAATAGACCTCACTTTCTGTAACTCATTATAGAAATATAACTCAACAATGGGTATAACAGACTAAATATAATATGCACAGATAGAAGGTAAATAAAACTTTAAATGAAAAAGGAGATAAATATAAACATCTATGAACCAAATGTGATTTTAAATATTTCTTTCATAGTTATCTACTTACATAAATGATCATAAAAAAGCAACAATTTGGTGCCTAGCTTAAGGAATAAAGAAAATTATAAGAAGATATATTACCCATAGAGCAAAAATACATTTTCCCATTATTGTAGGGTTAGAGGTTATATCATAAAATACTTCACTTGAGTTTTTTGTGGTTTGCTCCAGATGATTAGTTTAGAGAGATGAGACAGTACTGTGTTAGCTGCTCTTATGTGAAGAAGAATATTAGAGACAACAGGCTTTTGTTTGGTGCTACGGATATTACATATATGTTTTCAAAGGATATTTTGAGTGGAATAAGATTTTTTTTTTTTTTTTTTTTTTTTGAGACAGAGCCTCAAGCTGTCCCCCTGGGTAGAGTGCCATGGCATTACAGCTCACAGCAACCTCCAACTCCTGGGCTCAAGCGAGTCTCCTGCCTCCGCCTCCCAAGTAGCTGGGACCACAGGCGCCCGCCACAACGCCTGGCTATTTTTTGGTTGCAGCCGTCATTGTTGTTTGGCGGGTCCGGGCTGGGGATTCGAACCCGCCACCTTAGGTGTACGTGGCTGGCGCCTTAGCCGGTTGAGCTATAGGCGCCGAGCCGAGTGGAATAAGATTTAAGGGTAACATATTTTAAGATTGAAATTATCCTTTTCTATGATGTTAATTCTATAAATCCTATGGTAATTTTTTTTTTTTTTTTAACATTACTGTGTATAGTAAAAACTTCCCTGAACTTTAACAATTCTGGCAGTTATAAGTTTTATCCTAGGTATGAGAATATTATCATACAATTGCTACAAATATACTTATATAATATCACCAAGGACAAATACAAATTTCTCACTCCTGTATTTCCTATATCCAAAACTGTCCCTGGCACACAGTCAATGTTCAATAAATAATTACTAAATGAATAAAGAATAAACATATTTGAACTCTTACGCTGTCTGTTATTCTTCCATTGAGCTTAATATTTTATAGAAATATACTTAAAAAAAGAAATATACTTAACTATAGTAGAAAAAGTTTGGTATTTAGCATGTGAGTTAAAATGAAAACAAGCTATTTACACCCATTATGTTATTTTCTTATAATTTTCATACTCAACGTATGTTAAAAATCAGTTTTAAATAATTTGAATTGTATTTTGTTAACATTTGTGCGTACATCTTTAACAAAATTTCTGCTTCAAATACTATTTATATGTAGACCTGTTATTAAATGATGTATTTTTCCTAAGCTTTTAAATTTCAAAAACCTCTTACAAATAATGAATTTTTTTTTGTTTTTGTTTTTTGGAAGTAGCCATTCAAGTGTTTACTTAACATTTCTTTGAAGTATTACAGAATAGGGTAAGACATCTATACTTCTTTGCATATAAATTAATTCCATCACAGGAACTAAACTCTAAATATATTAAAGATAAAACAAATGCATTTTTAAATAATTTAATGCATTATGGGTTGGTTGCAATGTTTGGAAAGTTTCACATTGATTTTAACTCAAAATTTCTCTACAATTAAGCAAGAATTGGATATTGAACTGGTATATTTTGTTTACCAGTAAAGATAAAACATATAGTTAAGATGCACAAAACATAATTTTGTTTGAAGGCCATTTTAGTTTTACAAATTACAAAGAAATTTTAAAAATATAATTGTATTTCCAGAAACTTATTTATCGTTGCCATATTCCAAAAAATAATTTACAATTCAACACTTCAAAAGTATGTAATCTGGCAGTCACCTTTTCAAAATGCATTATGAAAATCCTCATTTTTGTGTGTTTTTAGTGTATGTTTTCTCCCAATGTAATGCTTTTAGTAGATTCTCATTACTGTATGTATCTCAATTAGCTTTTAAAACATTTGAATATATTTGTTATATATACCTGCATTGTATCTGTTACCATTCTCTAATAGATTTCTAGCCATTAAAATTGAAATAGCAAAATCAACCATGCTACCTTTTCTTTTTCTTTATGAAAACATATGGAATGCTTTTAAAGCTTAAACCATTATCTTCTGATGACTGACTGGAAGAACTTGGGTTCCTTCATTCTCTAGCATTGTAACAGTGCATTTTCCACATCATCACATTATATTGTTAATTCTTGGTAAACATCCATTTTGTACCTGGAAGGTATTTAAGCCATGAATTCACCTTGTAACTGTGCTTGTCACTTAAACAACCTATACACAATTTCTATTTCAAGCTAAACTTACAATTAGGCACTTTTTGCTTAACATTAATATTGGACTTAACAGGGATGGATAAGGGGTAGGGCAACAGCTGAAGATTTTGCAGCTCAAAACTGCTCAGTATCCAGCTAATTAATCTATCCAGGTAGGCCTAATCTGTTTTCTATTTGTATGTGAGGTGGGAGTTCTTATCTTTCTGTCCCTTTTAAATGATCTCACATTTCCAAGAGTAAATTTGGAGACAAGAGCCAGTTCAGAGGAGTTGTCAATCAAAACTGGACTCTCCCGTCTTATGGTGTTGTCTTGTGGTGATTACAAGAGCTTGGGTTTCTTCATCCCCTTAGCGTAGTACAACTGCATCTTCCAGATCATCACATTATATTGCTAATGCCTGATAAGCCTCCATTTGTACTCCCTACACAGCAAGCAGAGGGTAGCCCTGGTGTTCTCTCATGCAACCCTGGAGGCAGGCTTTTGACCTTCAGTCTGTGCTGCACCTTCGTTTGTCACTGGGGCCAATGGAGTGCACAAATGGGCGGCAGATCTAGTAGCACTTCCATCGGGTGAACTTTGGGAAGAGTCCAGGATGTGAATTTAATGGGTGGAGAGGCTGCGGCAGCACTGGGAAGTTAGCGCGGCCAACTGCAGGAAGCCATGCTTCATTACACCCTTCATGGGAGCTGGCACACTCGCCCGACTCCTGTTACTCACGGGCCAGCTCTAGAGGAGAAGGCCTTCAGGTAGGTTCCCAGAGCCGGGAGATGCCCCTGGGGAGTCCCCTCTGGTTACTCCAACTAATCCTCCTCCCGGACCTAGGTGTCTGCCTCCCCACACCTCCGAGGCCTCTTCGTAAAGTGCACGCGCAACCCGCGCGGCCGGCGCCGCCGAGGGCGACCCCACCGTCCCCGCCCCCGCCCCGCGTGCGCGCTCTCGCGCCCTCCCGTTGGCTCGTTCTGGCCTTAGCGCGTCGCCGAGTCTCCCGGCCCACACCCGCTGACACACCTCGGCGGCGGCGAGCGGCGCGGGGGCGGGGAAGGGGCCCGGGAGGTAGGCCAGGGTGGCCGAGCGGACGCGGCGGCGCGCACGCAGGCCTCGTCTCTCCCGGGCCTCCTCCCTGACGCCGGCCGTAGGGCGGGCGCGCACGCCGAGTGACGCTCGGAGGAGGAAGCGCAGCTCCCGTCCCCTCCCTCGCTGCCCCGGCCCAGCGGGAGCCCCCCCAGTGCGCCTGTGCGGAGGCCTACTTGATTATGTGTGCCCTCTCTGGCCGCCCGCGTTAGCGGCCGGGTGGAGGTGGGGAGGGAAGACGACGAGGAGGAGGAGGCGGAGGAGGCGGTGGAGGGGAGGTGGGGGGAGTCAGCAAGGACATGGCTCCTGACTCCTGTGCGGAACGTGAGTGACTGAGCGGCAAAGCCCGAGTGAGCGAGCGACCGAGCGGCGGGCGGGAAGGGGGACGCCGGGAGGGAGAGGGGTGCGGGGGGCGTACTGATTGGCTTGCATGTGTTTTTTAATGGTCCCCCCAACTCCCTCTTAGATGGTCTCTAGCGACCGGCCCGTGTCACTGGAGGACGAGGTCTCCCATAGTATGAAGGAGATGATTGGAGGCTGTTGCGTTTGCTCAGACGAGAGAGGCTGGGCCGAGAACCCGCTGGTTTATTGCGACGGGCACGGCTGCAGCGTCGCGGTGCATCAAGGTAAACACCCAACCGCCCGACGGGCCGAACCGGCCTGCGCCCAACCGTCACCGCTTCCCCCACCTTGGCAGCAACTGCCGGCCCCCGCCCCTCCCCCGCCCCTCCCCCGCTCCGCCCCGCCCCGTGCCGCGGCCGCAGGAGGGACTCGGAGGGTCCGCGGCGGGACGGAGGGGGTGTGGGCTGTGCATGTGGGAGAAAGTGTGTGTGGCCTGGCCTGTCATGTGATTCTTCACTCACTCTCTCAAGTGTCATTTGGCCGCCGCCTGCGCCCTGGGCCGGGGTCTGGAGGCTTCCCGGGGCGGCGGTGGTGCGGGCGGAGGCCTGCGCTCTAGGGTCGGGTGGGGGTCCGGGTGGCTGTTGGGTGTGGATGGGGAGCGTGGAGACCCCTCCCCCTCCCCGCCTGCTCTTGTCTGCCGCAGTGTCTGGAGACTTCTGTGGTATGGAGACGGCTTGGGCTCAGGAACGCGGCTCTGCGCCGGGGAGGGGCGCGGAGGCAGGGGGTGTTGCGTGGTCTCTTTGGGCTACGGAGGGAAGGAGGGCTCCGCTGCACCCCGAGCATTCTGGCTGAGACCCTGCTGCTGCTGCCGCCTCCGCCGTGGGGGAGCTTTCTGTGGGGAAGACGGCGGAGGCCAGTACTATCTGTGCTGGAGTGTCTGGGCTGCGCTGTCTTGGGCTGGTGGAGAAGGCTGGGTTGTGGCAGCGTCAGGCCACGAAGGTGACCGAAGAAAAGAGGTAGTGGTACCTCCAAGTGATTTGGGGATCCTCTTGGTTTATTTCTGGGTTATTTCCATCGGGTGTTTTGGCTGTAGAGAAAGACAGTGTGAAGATTACTTTTCTGCCCAGTAAAGTTTCTGACTTTTTCCATTTCATGTAGTAAAGGCGTTGAGGCAAAAATGATCTAGGTAGATCATTTTTGGTGGCTCATTTTATTTTACTATCACGCCTCTCTTCCCATTTCTGAAACTGGTATTAAGTGAAGCGGGTTAAAGAGAAAAATCTAAACGTAAGTGTCAAAGTGTGATTGCAGCGTCACAACTGGGAAAGGAGAGTTGAATGCAGTGGTGATGTTTCTGCAATAGGGAATTTACTGAGTCTTAAAATGGTATTATTCCCAGAGTCTTATAAAGAAGAGCAAAGTTGGGTACTATCCTTTGACGAGTGAAAACAGCGCGTGTCAAAATTAGATACTAGGACGTAGAACTCATATATAATACTTTTATTATACTGTTCGTTGACTTTTTCCTTGTGGGAGTATTACTTATGAATTGTCAAATCTTAGTAAGTAATGTATTTCCCAATGTAGAAAATGTTCGTTTTTAAGTCTTTAATTTTGGCCAGGCATGGTGGCTCATGCCTGTGATCCCAACACTTTGAGAGCTGAGGTGGGAGGATTGCTTGAGGCTGGGAGTTTTATACTAGCCTGGGCAACATAGTGAGACCATGTGTCTACAAAAAATAAGAAAAATTAGCTGGGCATGGTGACCCACAACTATAGTCCCAGTTACTTCAGAGGTTGTGGCAGGAGCCCAGGATTT